GCCACATGTCAATATCTGAATATCGCAATAATCCTCTGCGTGACCATGCAAATTATCTAAACGTTACCAAAACTGTAATCAGATGCCTTGATTAAAATAGCGAACAAATTCCATCCATTAGTTTGGGGGATATCGTAAGAATACTCGCTGTGACCTTGAAAATTATCCGAAGATCACTGAATTCGACTGGCGTTAGACGATACACATTTTCCTAACATACTTTTAAGCAGAATATAATAATTCTTTCTTGTGTTTTCGCACTAAAACGTTAGACATATGCAAAACAATACAATTTTCGCTGTGACCTCAAAATGGGCACAAGTTCCCCAATCAACTGGTGTAGGGGGAATCCGGCCAATACACCTTGATATAAAATTGTATCAAAATCTATTAATTCTTTCTTGAGTTATCGCGCTAACAATCTTTATATTGGAAAAACCCTAAGATTTTTGCTGTGACCTTGCAAATTACCTCAAGGTCACTAAATTCAACTGGTGTCGGTGAATCTCGCCACGACACCTTGGTACCAAATTCGAACAAAATCCATCATTTCTTTCTTGAGTTAACGCACTAACAATTTTTATATTGGCAAATCCCTCAGATTTTTGCTGAGGCCTTGCAAATTATCTCAAGGTCACTCAATTCAACTGGTGTCTGTGAATCTCGCCACGACACCTTGGTACCAAATTTAAACAAAATCCATCATTTCTTTCTTGAGTTATCGCCCTAACAAGCTTGAAATGCAATGAAAAACGAACACACGCGTATTTACGAACGATTGAAACTGTAATTACAATTTACGTAAATATTTATTACATTTTACCGCAACTAAAATTATTACAATTAACGTTAATTTTTTTTACAATTTGCGTTTTACAATTTACGTCAATTGTTATTACAATTTTTACGTTTTTATTACAATTTACGTCAAGGGTTATTACAATTTCTTGCAAGTATTACAATTTACGTTATAACTACAATTTACGTCGTAACAGGCTTATATGATGTATGAAATGTAACGAGAAACGAACACACGCGTATTTACCAATGATTAAACTGTTATTACAATTTACGTAAATATTTATTACATTTTACCGCAACTAAAATTATTACAATTTACGTCATTTTTTATTACAATTTACGTTTTTTAACAATTACGTCAAGGGTTATTACAATTTTCTGCAAGTATTACAATTTATGTCAAGGGTTATTACAATTTTCTGCAAGTATTACAATTTACGTTTTTTAACAATTTACGTCAAGGGTTATTACAATGTTCTGCAAGCATTACAATTTACGTTTGATTACAATTTACGTCTAAGGTTATTACAATTTTCTGCAAGTATTACAATTTACGTTTTATTACAATTTATGTCAAGCGTTATTACAATTTTCTGCAAGTATTACAATTTACGTTTTATTACAATTTACGTTTTATTACAATTTACGTTTTATTACAATTTACATCAAGGGTTATTACAATTTTCTGCAAATGTTTTATTACAATTTACGTTTTATAACAATTTACGTCAATTTACATTATTACAAATTTTCTGCAAGTATTACAATTTACGTTTTTTAGCAATTTACGTCAAGGGTTATTACAATTTTCTGCAAGTATTACAATTTACGTTTTTTAACAATTTACGTCAAGGGTTATTACAATTTTCTGCGAGCTTTACAATTTACGTTTTATTACACTTAACGTTTTATTACAATTTACGTTTTATTACAATTTACGTCGTAGCAGGCATGTTGCAGCTTTCGTACAGACATCAAGTGGGTCCCATTATTGACCGTCAGATTGAAATATTTCGGCAAGGCAATGTCAAGGCCACATACTGCACGTGCCATATTTGACTACATGTACAAGCTAACACTTTAGTTTTCCCACGCCTTCCGCATCGTCTGATTTTGACCTTTAGGACATCTGTGGTTGACGTAGGTACCGTTCCAGGAACTGTAACATGTCATAATTGATTGAACGTTTATTAACTATTGTGATAAGGTCATGACTGTTTTCAATTGTATTGAGTTTGAGAACTACTGATATTCCGACGTTTGCAGTCTGCCTCTATATCAAATGAGATATTACACTTTTTACACAGCAGACTAAATATGATAAAATTCACTTACATTTCTCACTGTGGAGAATATACATTTCTATTTCAAACTTTTGACATTAGTGGGAAGGTTGTCTTATTGCTAAACATGTTCCCTCATTGGGTTGAGCTGTGGTGTGAAAATACGTTTGAGAGGGACGGATTCCGAATTGCCCTGCTTGTTGCAACAATAACACCTTCACCGCCACCGCAAACAACGAATCTGTTTAATTTGCTGAAAAATAAAGGTATTTTACGGTAGTTTAAAACTGTTCTATGACATCTGTCGGCTCGTTTGCCATTTTCGGTTCCACCCAGCCCTGTTGGGCTCCTTTTTAGTTTCAAAATAAAACTATATATTTTCAGAGCGTTATTCTGGACTGCTACCATCTCAGAACGTGCAAGGGGAGACAATCTGTAAAAACGAAGAGCTAGTAAAACACCCAAAACTGCTTTTTATCACATCCGCTTACACTACGTCATCACACAATTGGACACTTCATCATAATATTTATTACGTCACTTTCTTTCATTCCTCCGCCATTTTAGATAACCGTCATTTCATTAACCACTTGTTAGCAATCTCATTTTAACCTCTTTTTCTCAGTTACACTTCCACCCTCCTGATGTTTGCCAAACCGTTTTATTCTATCAGTTCTGTTTCGTGTAACTTAAATCACGCTTCCCATCTCAAACTTCCAAATACTATAACTATTATCAACCCTATCTCTCTATTTTACATAGATCTAACCTTAAGCTCTTTACCCACAGATTTTATCCTCCAATCGCTTTCTAATTTGTTGTACAATTAGATTGAAATTTACCCACAGATTTTATCCTCCAATCGTTTCCAACGTTCGGGTGATCAAAATAGCGTTGACAACATCGCCGCTACCTGTCTCGTCTGTTCAGGGTCCGACAGAGAGCAGGCTATTAATCCCCCTGGGCTTGGTCCTGCGTCCGTCTTCGCCTTCCACACCCGGCCTTTGTTAATCCAATTCTCTACTTTCTTTCGATGTTGTTACATCGTTTGTAGGATAGTCGGACAATAATTTTTGTCATTGATTGTCACCCCCTGGATGAGTTTTTTCCGTTGGTATAATATAAGCGCAAATACCTCGGCGGTTTGAGAAATAGATACTGCTGGATGTTTTCCAAAATTTTGTAATGCGTTACAAAACAGTACATTTTTTCCGCATTTTATCGTGCAATGATAAAAGCACTGTGCTACGATTTTTTAAAGTTTGGCATCTTCACGGAAAGTGTAAGCGAAGAAAATACTGCCTGATATCTGAACGATATAAGCTTATGTGAAATGGGTTGGTGTGCGTACACATAACGTTATACGCTCAATCTTAAAAATGACTCGCAATAAATGTCGAAAATTGATTTTTTTCTATGACGTCAAACGACGACAGAGAGGTCATACAGATTAGGGGGCATAACTCCGCTATGCTTAACACTGGGTCAGTGTAACTCAGATCACTTGGAGAGAATTTGTAGTAGATACGGACGCTTTATTTTCATCATATTTTGTTGACCGTGAACCAAACTATTCCAATGCAAAGTTCCCCAACGTGAGCGGATACGTTTTGGTAGTTTCACAATTTATAAGAAAAAGATGAGAACTATCCGATACGCGAAAGCACGTAATAGCGATTTGGATGACCCTATCCGATATGTAAATCATTGCGTAGATTCTCACATTCTCCTGTTTGTGTAGATGTATTTTGACTAATTTTGCATCATTATTAACAGGTGTATCTTCAAATTTAATGAAATTACTGAAAAGATCACAACGTTTCACTTAACGTCATTGCTTGTTTTATGTATTTTGCGACGTCGGAAAAGACGGCATTGGTATGCTGATTGGTATGTATCTCACCTAATTTCCGTTTATTGTATAAAAGATCTCGGCTTCTGTGTCAGAATTTAACACTTTTTAGACAAAACATAAAATGACTAATTTTAGCATTTAAATAGTGTCTCGAATGTATCAACAATTAGACGGTTTGACTGTGTATCTTTTTGTGAGCAACACGCGCACAGTTTTGGCAACAGTTTAACATAAATAAAAAATAAAATTTTACAACACCTGAACATGTTTTTAGGATAAGAATTTTCTTTCATTATGATTATGTAGCTATTTCTCTTGATAAGTATGGAATGAAAGTTGCAAAAAGATATCTTATTTTGTATGGAACTATTAGAATATGGATGCAAGGTTTGTCCAAAATAAGACATGACATGGTTTATATATTTTTAAACAATTTTCGTATAAATATAGTTAGAGTTTGATATTCTATTATTACAATATATTTTAATCGAATGTGAATTGATTATTTTATCAAAAACAATTACACTATTATTAGTGAATCATAAAACGTTTCTGACATACGCGCACCTGGCCAATCAATATACATTATTGTTTTGTCTATAAAACGACACAAACAAATTCAATGAACAAGACAATTCTTTTAAATATGTGTGCATATACATTTCATAAAATGTATAAATCATTTTCATTAATATTATCAGGTTTACTTAAAAGGTTTAATTAAATCGCTGTTCATATTAAACTGCAATATTAGTCCCAGAATATTGTACATCATGAGAACTAAAGTACATGTTGCGTGTGACGTGTGATCTTCTAACACCTGTGTAAAGGTGTAAAATATGGTGTACTGCACTAAATGTGTCAATTTCTTCTGTAAATATTATTCAAACAATAATATCTGTATTTCAGGTGGGTGAAGCCGTACATGTGGGTTTGTAAACATTTCATAAGGAGCGTTTAATCAGAATAACGTAAGGGATCAAGAATATCATTCCATAACCTAATGGTCCAAGATCCCTACTCCACTAGAGCCACTTACGAACAAAACAAAACAAACAAAATTTCAAGAACCAACCACAATCTACATTATTGTATCAAAAGTAGCTTATTTGTAATGAGGTCAAGGGCCCATATACAAGATATAACTATACATAGTTGACAAGAATATACAAATGAAGTTGAAAGTGTTTCTAAATAAATATTTCTTTTTATATAGGCATGGGAAATGTAATGCTGTACACATTTGATTAGATTCTCCTGAGATGTACATAATAGACATTTAAATTTATGGATAGAATGGAATTTCCAAAAGTATTCCGGAAGAAAAGTTATTCTCAAATCATTGTAAAAGGGACATATAAGAATGAAATGATACAAACAAAAACAAACAAACAATTTCAAGAGCTAACCACAATCTACATTACTGTATCGATCGGCTGGTCATGGTACTCCATGGTTTCACAAGCACTCAGAACATGTGCTTCTTCCACCAGATCGCCCAAACATAAACATACACTCACTGTTATTATTGTTGCAAATTTAGTGTCAACTATCACTAAAAATATACAAATATCTTCTTCGACATGGGCGGTATACTCAGACGGAGGATGTTGTTCATAATGCTGATCACATGTTATGCCTGTCCCGGAATCAATAACTAACAACTCTCCGTCCAGCGAAACTAACATTATACCGTTAACATACAAAGTACAGTGAAGATGATTTTTCTAATAACTGGTGGCAGATGGCGGAGGTATTGCAATGTTAATGATGCCAATATGTTACGAGCTTTTGATCACTGACATGTTACTTTGTAAACACACTTGTGATATGGTCCTTCAAGGAATACTGTGTATGTACAAGGTTGTCTCGGTACTTCCCCCTGTACAGAGGATCAGAAGGACGCCACACGTCCTCGGGGCGAAGAGCCATTTGGATACTCTGAAATATTAACACAAAAGTTATACTTATTGTGCCAAGGAATGCCTTCAATATTTCCATCTGGTTTAATTCATTCATTTATCTCATCTCACATGTCTGAAAGGAGAGCCGAATTGATCGACTTTAGCTTTTGTCGTCTATCACTCGTGTGTTTATGAGTGAGTGAGTGAGTAAGTTTGGTTTTACGCTGCTTTTAGCTATATTCCAGCACTATCACGGCAGGCATATGAAATCACCCGAGTATCTACAGTACGACAGGCTATATTAATGAGATATTACTGACTGACTGTCCATGTCCATGAGAACAAACACAACCCACCCCAGACCTGAAACGCCAGAAAGAAAAAGAAAGGAAAACAACAACTAAAAAAAACCCCAAACAAGCAAAACAAAACATATAGACAATAAACAAGAAGAACAATAAAACCAAGAACAAATGTTTGCATATTCGTAACTGATCTTACGCAAATCAGTGCACAAGTACTTTGAATCGTCTTAACATTTGAATCGTTTCTTAAGTAGCAGTTGGTGTCCAGTAGTGCTATCATAAGACTTATCACTAACCTCTCTGACCGTGTGGGAGGCCATATGCATCTTCACAGCTAGAATTATATAATCTGGCAATGGAATAATGGTCCCCTGCAGTGCTATCATAAGACTTAACACTAACCTCTCTGACCGTGTGGGAGGCCATATGCATCTTCACAGCCAGAATTATATAAACTGGCAATGGAATAATGGTCCCCTGCAGTGCTATCATAAGACTTAACACTAACCTCTCTGACCGTGTGGGAGGCCATATGCTTCTTCACAGCTAGAATTATATAAAATGGCAATGGAATAATGGTGTCCTACAGTGCTATCATAAGACTTAACACTAACCTGTCTGACCGTGTGGGAGGCCATATGCTTCTTCACAGCCAGAATCATATAAACTGGCAATGGGATGATGGACACAGAGGCGATGAACCAGCCGATGCTGCTGGCGTAGCCGGGGAAGGTGTACTTGCCGTAGGTCGGCGGTTGGTACTGAAGGAGTGTCAGGATGAAGGCAGTCTGAAATATCCATCAGGAGCTTCATGTAACATGAATAAAGTTTGTTCTTGTGATGTAGGGGCGTTAGGGCAGCCTAGTGGTTAAAGCGTTCGCTCGTCACGCCAAAGACCCGGGTTCGATTCCCTACATGGGCACAATCCGTGAAGCCCATTTCTGGTGTCCCCCGCCCTGATATTGCTGGAATATTGCTAAAAGCGGCGTAAAACTAAGCTCACTCATTCTTGTGTTATAACACCGGTTTCATCACTACTTGGTGACCAGATGTTCATGAATACACAGTGTATATGAATATGCAGTTCCATTTAGAAATTGGTAAAATGTAACAGATGACATATTTTAGTTAACCCTTTGGGTTCCTGATACCAAATGAATCTATTAGTTACTATTCGTTCAACAGTTCAATATATCTGTGTGATCCTCGCCAGGCTATTGTTTAGGGACTACAATGTCATTAAGCCAGTATAATGTCACGGAGGATAATTACCGCTCTTTAACACTTTCTTGTTGGTTTGCAATCATCGTAAAACCATGGTTTACGGATATGTGGATTTGGTGAAGTATTGGCCGTCTGAACACCTCAGAGAAACCCATACTTTGTTATACATCCCCATGAAAGTAATCAACTGAAGAAGGTCAATAACTGTTATGATTAAAATAATTTTAATAATTTTAATTCATTTTTAATGTTCAAAATATCAAATTGGCCCAAATTGGCCCAAATGTTTGTGTTAAAAACAAAGGATATATACAAAGGATAAGAAATTGATTTATGATCTCTTAAAAAACCCATCATGCACTTGCAAGGAGTACTGATGAAAAAAACATGTAAACACTTACCAGGAGCACTGCTGGTATGACGAAAGCCCAAAGGATTTTTACGACGATCGGAAGTGGTTTTCCAAGCATCATCTCAACATCCTTGCTCATCTGCTTTACACCTGGAACATAACATCATTTTGCGCACATACACAAGGGCTAAACAGCAAACCATTTAAATAATGATTAAATTCAGCTTCAAATTAATAGAAATGTTTAACATGAGTATTGCTATCTGTTCCATATAAAAACAAAAACAGAATAAAATGTAACAAAGTCACATCTCCCTAATCAGAGAAAATACATATCATAGGGTAAATTAAATTACTATTTACATTTTGTGTTAACTGTATCAGAGATAGTAATGCTCAAAATGTGGTAATAATTTGAAATTTAGCTCACCATAGATATAGACGACGGTAACACATTCCAGTGTGCAGAACAGAAAGACTGATAAAGCACTTATATACCAGTCGAGAAGCTGGAATATGTATGGGCCGCCCTGAAACCGCAATAAAAATCCTAAGAACAACAACAACAACAAGAACAACAACAACGACAACAACAACAACTAGCAACGGCGATGGCGACGGTGATGATGATGATGATGATGGTCATGATTATCCACGCATCCTGCCCCGTGAAGATCCGGGTTAGAACTGGTCATCAGCAACCCATGCTTGTAAGAAACGACTGACGGAATCGGGTGGTCAGGCTCGCTGACTTGGTTGACATATGTTATTGTATCCCCATTGCGTAGATCGATGTTCATGCTGTTGATCACTGGATTGTCTGGTCCAGAGACTCTATTAATTACAGACCGCCGCCATACAGCTGGAATATTTCTGTGTGCGGCGTTAAACCAGCCAGCCAACCTACCAACCAACCTGACAACAGCAACAACAACAACAACAACAACAACAACTACAACTACAACAACAACCAACCAACCAACCAACCGACCAGTCCTTTGAGGGCATCATAACCATTTCATAGATTTTGTTCAAGATGGAGCTTCAACGCACCATGTCTAAAATTATAAGCCGAGGGCCAAACGTAAATCTTACCTGCGTGCAGAGTAATATTCCTGCAAGAAAGAATATCACACATACACCAGCGGTTACAAGCCAACGCTTTCGTGACAGAGCTTTCGGGTATTTGTCTACAAGGGCTGTTGTGATGACCTCCACGTTCATGAACTGAAAGCAAAAAATGTACATTAGTAGTCCTCCAATCAGCTGCGGACACCAGAAATGGGCTTCACACATTGTACCCATTTGGGGAATCGAACCCGGGCCTTCAGCGTGATGAACGAACGTTGTAACCACTGGACTACCCCAATTATATACAATATCATTAAACTTATCATTCGAGTACTCCCTTTACGGTGGCTTTTATAGCCTTGTCTAACCTTTTCTTCTTAGTATATGTGCGATGTTCTCGTAGACCGGGGCGGTGGGGTAGCCTAGTGGTTAAAGCGTTGGCCCGTCACGCCGAAGACCCGGGTTCGATTCCCCACATGGGCACAATGTGTGAAGCCCATTTCTGGTGTCCCCCGCCATGATACTGCTGGAATATTGCTAAAAGCGGCGTAAAACTAAACTCAGTCAGTCAGTCTCGTATGACCCATATATGGATGACACTTTCATTTTGAAACAATTTTCTTTTTGTACCTATTAGTGAGTGTTAATGTACGTAACTACTTGACTTGTCTTTGCATGTATTTAGGACGTGTCAGCAGTGCGAACACCTAGTATCATTACGGAGTGATTAATAAAACACATGCTTATGAAGGACAAAAGAGTTTGCTTTTAACAGTGATTTCTTATCATTTTTGAAATTTAGTTTTCGTTCGTATAAACTTCTATATTAGAAACTTTCAGTATGAATGGTACATACTCACGTAATGTACTCATATATAGCAAATTGAAGACACCCACTTGTGAATCCAGGCCAACAGCAAGAAGCATGAGGAAGAACAGGAAGGACCACAACTGAGGCACCGGAAGTTGCGCCAGAGCTTCTGGGTAGGCCACAAAACCTAGTCCTGGACCTTCATCAGGATAGGATAACAGTATTGTATAAACTTGACGGTATTTAACATTTCTTCTGTTATTGTCCGTCTGGGATTTTTCTTTCATTGAATGAGTACATAAGACCTTGTAAAAAATTCCATCAGTTTAACGCTTCTGTATATATAGTATAAGTATGGGATATCAGAGACTGATAATGGAATTCAATTTCTGTATTATCATGAAACCATGTACGGTTGCACAAAAACAAAGATACAAATAGATCTAACGCGAGTGCACTTTACAATGACATCACCATTTTGACCATTTCCCAAGTTCCTAGTCTCTGTTTTCGGAACGTACGACCATAGTGCCACCATATTTAAAGGGCTCATACATACAGCTGTTCACAGCTTGACATTTATAGTGGTAGTGAAGTAGCTACAGCTGGTGTTTTTCGTGAACATCACCTTTTGTGTCCACTAGACGTGGGCCGAAGCACTATATAACTTGGCGTAAGATGAAAAAAACACACCCAAAATACACTGAACACCTTACTCACCGCTGGAAACTACACTCGAAATATGGACGCCGGTCTTTTCGGACATCACTCCAAGGATGCCAAAGGTCACCAGGCCGGCAAAGATGCTTGTAGCTTCAGATATCGTGCTCACTATGATGGCGTCCCTATCAGAAACATGTAGATGCAACCGTATGCAATACTCTTGCGGACGCTAGTTTAAGTTTCAATGGGATTTTTGTTTGTCTTCTATCTTCACCACCTTAACCCCGAATAATGAACGTATGATAAACGTCAAAGAGAAATTCAAAGCGGATTCTGACAAATCCAAATGAAAGGTATGATACTGTGACGTGACCTCACGTCTGGAATGACTTCATATGCACATCTCACAATGTCGGGCATCTTAGGAATATCAAGCGGTCTGCCTCTTTGCCTTGAATTCGATATGCAGTTTCAGCGAAAAAAGGTGCATCTAAGAGGTATGAGGTCTTTCACTGACGAGGACCAACCATAGAGTCTAAACACAAAACCCGTACACTTCCACCAGACGTGTCTCCAAAACAGTCGAAGTCGTAAAATGGTCTCTCAATTTGGCAGAGACAAAGACACCCTTACTCTAATGGTCTAAGAAATATAGCAAACACCAGGGGCTTTGGAATTTACATGATGCACACATGTATTTTTGTTAACGTAAAGTAAATCGAAGGTTTGGGTATCTGAGGAAATATTAGACAGACAATCCAGTGATTATCATGAGCATCTATCTAAGTCGAGTTTGACCATCCGATCCCGTAATCGTCTCTTACGACAAGCATAGGTTGCTGAAGATCTAATTCGGAACAGCACGGTCTAAGTATGCTAATCGAATAAAGAGGTATCCCAGGAAGGATTAGGCTGGCACCTCATGTCTCCTCGACCATTACTTACTTGTGACAAGGCTCGTGGAACTTGTTATAGCTGGAAGCGGTGCCAATGGTACCCCAGCCTAGTCCCAGAGAATACATCACTTGTAGAAACGCCTCAAGCCACACCTTGTCATAATTAGCATCATAATCATTACACCGAACTCAGAATATTTGACAAACATTCTTGGTCGTTATTAAACAATCACACTACATTTTTGAGTTACTCTTTTGCTGTGTCTATTTCAGTCGCTTTAACTTCGTTTAAGTTCGTTTAACTACACGTGCATTATATTTTTAAGGAATGTTACACTACCAGACAAATCTGCATGGTGCCATATCACTTGACCAAATGTATGGGAATAATAACTACTAAAACTTCCCCATTATTTCTATTACATAACCCTGCTGTAAATGGATTCTCCCATAAGACTCTACCCTTGGGATTCAACAACATAATTCTACCCCTAGGATTCTACCGCAAAACTCTTCCCCTGGGATTCTGCATAAAGCCCTACCATCGAACTCTACAGGAACGGCCTACACCCTGGATGCCACATCAGAATCTCCTGGGATTATACTACAAAGCTATACCACCGAACTCTGCAAAGGTCTACACCCTGGATGCCACGTCAGAATCTCCTGGGATTATACTACAAAGCCATACCACCGAACTCTGCAAGGGTCTACACCCTGGATGCCACGTCAGAATCTCCTGGGATTATACTACAAAGCCATACCACCGAACTCTGCAAGGGTTTACACCCTGGATGCCACGTCAGAATCTCCTGGGATTATTATACAAAGCCATACCACCGAACTATGCAAGGGTCTACACCCTGGATGGCACGTCAGAATCTCCTGGGATTACAATACAAAGACATACCACCGAACTCTTCAAGGGCCTACAACCTGGATGCCACATCAGAATCTCCTGGGATTATACTACAAAGCTATACCACCGAAAACTCTGCAAGGGTCTACACCCTGGATGACACGTCAGAATCTCCTGGGATTATACTACAAAGCTATACCACCGAAAACTCTGCAAGGGTCTACACCCTGGATGCCACGTCAGAATCTCCTGGGATTGTACTACAAAGCTATACCACCGAACTCTGCAAAGGGTCTAGACCCTGGATGCCTCGTCAGAACGCTACCTCTAGGTACTACAACACACCTTCACGTCCTGAAGTTTCCGGAAGTCCGGCGTGACGTAGTACAACAGACCGGAACCTGCTCCCGGTTGAATCAGTGTGCTGATGAAGATGATGATCAGGAGTATGTACGGCAATATTGCCGTCACGTACACTGCCTGGAAAAACAAGCAGTTGTGACCATCTTGACGTTAGTACATACACTGATGCACACTGATGTATTTTCAGCGGCCATAAAATTTCCGAGTCCCGTGCTGGGATTGGAACTACGCACGCCTTGTGTACATGACCACAGAAGTTAACCCTATCAGCAAGCTGACAAGGTAAGGATGTCATCTGTGAGATGGCTACATATTGCCAATGCCAGCTAGGCATTTCCATCTTCAGGATATTGATATGACGGTTACCTTGCCCACTGACTTGACCCCACGAATCATGCACAGAAATATGATGACGTATGAAGCGAACAGACAAGCCACGATGTGCCATTGGACAGAGCCCACCTCCTCCAAACCTCGAGATATACTCAGCACATTGTACCTGAAACAACGATGGAAACAGCTGGACTGAACCGGTACATGGTATCACCGTTTGAGAGTTTTGTTGATTAACACATGTTACAATTGGTATGTTTGTTCCTCAGCGAGGTATGTCAGGGGCATTTTAAGCGCGTGCTGAGCGCCTTTGCATTAGTGATTGTGAGTTTCCCTACGGGCTCTCACACGTTGGCTTCAGTGTACATGGTGTTACTCCTGCGTGTGATTTCAGTGTGATTAAATTTTTCGTTCAGAAGCAACGACACGGCGTTGTTACTGAAACCTTCAACTATAGCCATATTCAAATCCCTTATGTTGTAACACTAGTATACACAGTCTTGGCACCTGTGATTTAAGCTATTTAAGAAATGTCCCAAACCAAGTACAACGGGCCGATGACCTATTCAAAGTCAAACGAAGAGTGATCTTACTGCCAGAATTCCTCGGCCGCGGTGTGAGCTAGAGTGACATTTTCCCAGCGCTGTGTGACAACAGCAGTGATGTTATCATACGAGCTTGTTCCGTTGTGGCTGCTGTAGGTGGCGTTCCTTAAGTCTTCTACACACAGGTTGGTGTTCCAGTCATTGCCACAAGTTGTCCAGGGCAGGACGCTGGAGCAGGACTTGACCATGTAGTAGATGGGCCAGGCCAGGAGGATGTTGTAGTACGGTATGCAGGCGACGTACATCACCAGGGCACCAACACCAACTCCTGTTTCAAGAATCTGTCTTTCTAGAAACGTTCCTTTATCTTCGTGGAGTGAATGAGTTGGGTTTTACGCTGCTTTTAGCAATATTCCAGCAATATCACAGCGGCGGACACCAGAACTGGGCTTCACACATTGTATCCATGTGGGGAACCGAACCTATATCTTCTACAATGTGTGAAGCCAATTTCTGGTGTCCCGCGCCGTGAAATGTCTAGAATATTGCTAAAAGCGGCGTAAAACCCAACTCACTCAATCACTCACTCACTTAGGCCAATTTGTATTATGTAAAAAAAATTCAGGATTAAGTGGTTCAAACATTCATTATAAAATGCCATTTAGGAACATGATGCTTTGTGTTTTGAACATTTACATTGATTTCCTTCTATAATTTGGAATGAATATATCCATGCCGGCACATCCTACCAACCTTTGAACATAGGACAGAAACTCCACACACGAGGAGTCGCCCTTCCTGAGAACTGAGAGAGCGAGGCTTCCAGGAAGAACACGGGGAACCCAATGATTAAGATACAGAGTAGGAACGGCAGCAGGAAGGCGCCTGTGGATTAAACAAACAACCGAAAGTGGGTGTCAGAAGATATTCGAAGGCAATTTGTAACATCCAAAGGCAGTTTCAATCACTTATTGTTTAGTAATTTACACACTTTTTTTCAAATTAAAATATATATCGTTGATCGTATATACAAATGTTACATTATGGTATAGAGAGAGTGAATTTAGTTTTACGTCGCTTTTAACAAATTTATATTCCAGCAATATAAATAGGGGACATCAGAAATGGGCTTCGCGCATTGTGGGGAATAGAAGCTTGGTCTTTGGTCTAACGTGCGGTCGCTCGAACAAGCCGTCTACCACATAACCATCGCAAAATTGTACATGATAAGTGAGTTTGTGAGTTTGTAAAACGTGAATTCAAGACTATCACACAAACAATGTCAGATGCATACTGTGGTTAATCACTACAGAAAGAAAATTATTCCTGATACCTCCGCCATTTCTGTTACAGACGTACGGGAACCTCCACAAATTCCCGAATCCAACACAGAAGCCAACCAGGGAGAGGACGTATTCAACACGTGAATTCCATTTGGCCCTCTGATCTTCAGAGGCTTTGTAGAACACCTCTTCATATTTGTCCGAATGCATCTCTTCTTTAGTTACTTCATCCATTGGAAATCCATGACTCGTTTCCTTCGATGTCATACTTGTCACTGTTTGTGAATGAAAAGGTTATAGAAGCACAAGAGCAATGTACCTGTTAATTACGAGCAGCGATGAATTTTTTTCATTGACTGAATATGTTTGTATTCTGGAACGAGCATATAATCGTAGATTGTAATTTTGTAGGTGACAGGTACATAGTGACAGGTACGATAGTGACAGGTACATAGTGACAGGTACGATAGTGACAGGTACATAGTGACAGGAACATAGTACGTGCATTAGTCACATATTTTCATATAGTTATCCGTTTTAGTTATTCATACATACATAGTGACAGGTTTCCTTTGTGACATTGTTACATCCAGTATATATACACTTCCCCCTTCTTCATGTTCCATTATGCTTGACAACGGTACAAGAATCTGTATCGAAACGTCGCACTCACGAATAAAAAGAAGTTGTTATCCATAAAGTTTGTTCTATATTGTACTTCCCAATTTCTAAAATGCCACTCAAAGAAGTCATACATCCATGGTTATGATATAGTTGGAATCCTAAAATGACCCTTGACCTGATATTTAGATTATTTTGTTCTGTTGCTTAAATGTCAAGATTTGACTCAAACGTGACAGTGTGTATAACGTACTTTCAAATTTAGCACATAATCAGAAAATACTACAGAGCTCATGTTGAAACTCAGTCCTCTTGCGAACATTGACCGAGATGAAATAAAACATCATGTCTATTATAGACATGAGTATGTGAAACACTATCAAATAGTGATGATGCTGGCTCTTCACGAAGAGGTGAGCGAATCCTGCTCTTCGGGTGGTAGAGCGAAGATCCACAGGGATATATGGATGGCAGGATATAGACACAAGCATCACAGCCTGCACGAGTGAGTGAGTGAGTGACTGAGTATGTTTTTACGCCGCTTCTAGCAATATTCCAGCAATATCACGGCGGGGGACACCAGAATGCCTGCAATATGTAGTACCCCATTTATCTCTTTTCCTTTCATTTTCATATCATCTTCTCAGGGTTGTCATCAAATATTTAATTCTATCCTATTTCCTTCCAAGTATTGAGCTACTTGAATCCGAGATCAATGTACCTGTCTCGTGTATAAAACTATGCATTTAGATGTATGCTTGTACGACTCTTTTCATTAGTTGTTTGTTCAGGCGAACAACATCCAAGGCCTCAATAGAGCCTCCTAAAAGCAGATTTCTTTCAGGTACATGGTTTACTTGCTCTTGCATATATTTATCGGTACCACCCGTGGGGCAAACATATGCATATCTTGCGAGTATCTGGCATCATGACTGTATGACTGTAATTCATTTACAAATAATCAGGATACAGTCAGAATCGAACAATCGATTTTACTATAAGAAACAAATAATACTGGGTGTGTAAAGGGTTCTGTCTTTTGTCCCTATTTTTCTGACCCAAGACTTCGTAAAATGAAGGTCAAGGAGAACACACCCCACTCTTCCAATCTTGCCACAATACGTAAGAAAACAGGTCAGTTTGAGAAAAGGAACACTGGAATCAAATGGGCATATTCCAGGTTATTTCGGGACAGAGTATGCAAGGCGGAGGACCATGTCCACCATCAGGTATGTTGTGGGAGGAGATTCCCATAGTAAAAATTGCAGACATTAACGACAGTGAGTGATGGAGTGTTGTTTTACGCCGCTTATAGCAGTATTTCAGCAATATTACGGCGGGGTACACCAGAAATGGGCTGCACACGTTGTACCCATGTGGGGAATCGAATCACGATCTTCGGCATGACGGGCGAACGCCTTAACCACAAGGCTACCCACCCTCCCCTACAATCTGACACAATACAAATACAACTGGAACTGAGTGTCCCGGCAATTGGTATTGTGATGGATATGCTGACAGCCAGGTAATTGCAAGCGGACAACCAGGTCATTTCAAGCGTTTTTATCCAAACAGGGGAGGGCGCACTGAAAGAAAAGGCTGAAGCAAATTGCCTTCCGCAGGTCGAAAGGCTTAAGCCATCACATCAGTAAGTCTAAATTCATGTGCTATGAAACTAATCAAACTAAAGCATCAGTGTATAGAAGATACCGCAACTGAAGTCTCCATTATACAGTGACTGGTTTATCAGAAACTGAAGGATGTTCCGAGATTAGCACGATATGATATCACTTCAACGAGTAATAACCTAAAGTTGACGGATGGGCAGACACTGATTTCAAAATAGATGTCTAGCTGTCACATGAGTCTTGTGTGGTAACAGACATGAAAAGACCTGAGAAGGATGGGGTAATTTTAAGTCCCTTCAGAAGAGGGCTTTCATCTAGCCTCAGTTATTCGGCTGTCAAGCCACACTCATAAAACGCAAGCGGAGAAGGTGTGAGGAGCTTAGGCTTAACAATGTCCTTGTTTCCACTCTGTCTCACATTTTAGGCAGAGAACCCCGATACTTTGCCTTACAACCAGGTGTGCATGGCTAGAATATTTAAGATAGTCATGCTACAATTATGTTAGTGAATGATACACCGAACAGTAAATATGACTGGTTTATCAGAAACTGAAGGATGTTCGCTAGATTAGCCACGATATGATATCACTTCAACCAGGATGGATAAACACTGATTTCAAAATAGACGTCTGTCTGTCCCACGAGTTTTGTGTGGTAACAGCCATGAAAAGACGTGAGATGAAAGATAAGTCCTTTCAGAAGAGGGCTTTCATCTTGCCTCAGTTATTCGGCTGTCAAGCATTAAAGGCAGACAATGACAGCATGAGAAGCTAACATTTAACAACGCCTTTGTCGACCCATGCCTGAGCAACCGGGCACTTTGCCTCACAATCAGGTGTGATTTTCGGGAAGAATTTATAAGATAGACATTAAACCGAACCTTAAAATGGAAAGTTAATTTTGTGTCTACGTTAACTACCTTTATGACGAACACGGGTATATCTAACTGACGGTTTGACAAAACAACAACTTTTTGACGGGGGCACGTGCTGTGTTTTAAGTGTCAAAATGAATAAAACAAACTAGAATCAGTGGTCCCTTGGGGTTCGTTGTCACCGTAGTTAACTGTGACTCGGGCAGTTGTAGGCAGTTTTCATAAAATCAGCTTCTGTTTTAGGTTACAATATGGTCGGAAAAATGATTTGTATGGATAGTCAACTTCTTTATTGCAATGAGTGCGACGTTTCGGTGTAGGTACTTGCTTAATAACGGTGTTAGTACCTACGCCGAAACGTCGCACTCATTGCAATAAAGAAGTTGACTATCCATACAAATCAGTTTTCCTTCATCTTCACAACTTCTAAAATGCCTCTCAAAGAAATTACAATATGGACACATCGACATGGTAAGAGGAAGACAGATACTAGCTGTAAACACAACACCGCGATGGGCAGCAAATGGGGCCAATCTTGACAACAGGACATGACCAGATGTCATTTTTTCAGATGAATCCAGGTTGAACCTATCCTTTGCAGATGGACGTCAACAGATTTATCTACGTAAAGGAGAAAGACTTGCGCCAAGCTGTGTCCTTGAAGATGATCGTTTTGGAGGGGGTGGTGTCATGATCAGACCTCAGACCATCAGAGGCTGCAGACCATCCAACAGCTGTTCCTGAGAAATGTGTGTCTTTCAATGCCCCTAAGACTGCGAGCATGTCTTGCAGCGCACGGTGGACACACACGATATTGACTGCAAGTGACCCCTCCTTTGTGATGTCGTTGTTGCGTCACTGATGTTGTTGTTGACTGGACATTTTCAGATGAAATTATTCACAGATGTTCACTTACAACATATCTGCCAGTTAGGTTTATATATGTTGAAATTAGTGTGAGTAAAGAAAGTATGAATGTCAAATTGCATTTTTAATGGCTTTTAGTATATTTGAACACAGAAAATGGGAAAATGCTACTGTGCAAGCAAAAATGTTCCCAAAGATAATTTTAGATGTTCCTAAACACTTTTTCACAATATCAAAGACACGTTTTACTTTTTTCAATAATGCAAATCAGCAGAAAATGTTTTAAAAGACTGAAATCATAGGAATGATTATTTTACAATTGTACACACTCTACAACAGTTGTTTCTTGTTTTAATAGTTGAAAAACGGTGACTTTAAATGGTTTTTCTTTGTCTCAAAGCAGAATTTCATTTCAACCTTTCTTTTGGACATCTCAATCACTGTTATTGGTTTATTTCGGCATGGTCGAAAATATGAAAATTTAATTGTTCTGAAAAAGATGCATTTTACCTAAATATGAATGCATTGGAGAACTATTTTTCGTGATTTGCATAAAGCTCTGTTGTTCAGCTTTCTTGTAAACTAATGCCTTCTAACATATCTTTGATAGTTTTAAGTAATTCATAAAGGTAGGAGGGTAACGTTTCGTCTTGGCGTTTAGTGTCTAATATAAGAGCTGTATATACGTAGAATCGATATGATGGAACAAGTTTTACAATAATATATTATAAAGCAAGGGGGCATATATTGTTACGTAAAACTTAACCGTTAGCGAACTAGGTGTAACACAATCAAACAGCAAAGAAATGTGCAGTATCCAACAATTGTATTAAACAAGTAACTAAGTTAACAAATTAGTACAATGGTGGCAGCAGTAACATCTCAGTAACGATATTCTAAGTTGTAACTAGGGTAATACTGATTGCCACAAAATGCTGGTCGTATATCAGTAACAGTAGGTCAACGTGCAACTAGGGTAATACTGATTGTCACACAATGCTTGTTTTATATCAGTAACAGTAATCCAACGTGCAACTAGGGTAATACTGATTGTCACACAGTGCTGGTCTTATATCAGTCACAGTAGACTAACATGCACTAGGGTAATACTGATTGTCACACAGTGCTGGTCTTATATCAGTAACAGTAGTCCAACGTGCAACTAGGGTAATACTGATTGTCACACAATGCTGGTCTTATATCAGTAACAGTAGGTCAACGTGCAACTAGGGTAATACTGATTGTCACACAATGCTGGTCTTATATCAGTAACAGTAGTCCAACGT